CTATCTATCCATCCAACTACCCATCTATCATCTATCTACCTATCATCTGTCACCTATCTATCCATCTATCTATCCCTTCCGTCATCTTTCTATCTATCCATCCATCTGTCATCTATCCATCCATCTATCCATCTATCTATCTTCCATCCATCTATCATCTATCTATCTATGGGCAGTGATTTTCAAGTAGGGGTGATTTTGCCCCACAGGGGACACCTGCCCATGTCTGGGGACATTTTGGTTGTTACATCTGGGGGGAGGGGTTGCTACTGGCATCTAGTGTGTTGGGAAGGCAGTGGTGGTTCAGTGATGGAATTCTCACCTTCCCTAAGAGAGACCCGGGTTCGATTCCCGGCCAATGCACGTCATGCGCAGCCACCATCTGTCTGTCAGTGAAGGCTTACGTGTTGCTGTGATGCTGAACGGGTTTCTGCAGAGCTTCCAGACTAAGAAGGATCGGAAGAAAGACCTGGCCATCTACTTCCAAAAATCAGCCATTGAAACCCCCATGGGGCAGAGTTCTACTTGGACACACATGGGGCTGCCATGATCTGGAGTGGATGACACCAGGCTTGGTTCCTTCTATGTGGTTCTATGCAGGAACTCTTATTCACCCCTGTAGCTATTTTCAACACAAATGTTCCTGTCCAAACCAGGGCCTCACCTGTAGATGGCCGTGAAGACCTCGTCAGAGGGAACACCGAACGCCTTGGCATACTGGTTCTTCCCCTCTCTGGAAAGACAGAAAGACTGAGGTCCAGGGACCCACACGTGTACTGACCACTGACGTGTATGTCAGGTGAGCCTCCTGTAGATGTCACTGAGGAATATAAATATGTCAGATAATGATTGATTACAAGCATGTAAATGATAAGAAGAGTTGTGTGTTTTACACAATAAATGTTAAAACTCGGCACTCGTGTTTTTCATGACTGAACTGCCAACCCAGGCTCAAGATGTGGCTTACGTTCAAATAATTAAGAAAGAAAATGTACATCACAAATTCTCAACTGGAGGTGTTTCTACCACCACCACCACCCCTCAGGGGACACTGGCCATGTCTGGACACATTCTTGGTTGTCACAACTGGCGGTTAGGGTCTACTGGCATCTGGTGGGTGGAGACCAGGGATGCTGCTCAACACCCTACTGTGCACAGGATGGCCCCCACCACAGACAATGACTAGTGGGTGGAGACCAGGGATGCTGCTAGACACCCTACAGTATACAGGATGGCCCCACCATAGAGAATGACTCAGGGGCGGAGACCAGGGATGCTGCTTAAACACCCTACAGTGCGCAGGATGGCCCAAATGACAGACATTGACTAGTGGGTGGAGACCAGGGATACGCTAGACACCCTACAGTGCACAGGACGGCCCCACCACAGAGAATGACTAGTGAGTGGAGACCGGGGATGCTGCTAGACACCCTACAGTCCACAGGACGGCCCCACCACAGAGA